AGTTCCGTACAAAAGAGGGTTTTTTTAAAGACGCTCCACTCTTGTCTTTTTGTGCTTGTAGAGCTGTTGTATAAATGCAATATTACACTTGTAGCTGTGCGCTAGCTGTATATTAGCACGCTGTGATAACCTACGGCAACCATGCTGATATACAGCCATATCGAACTGCTACTCATGTGTTCTCATTTAAAGTGCATGTGCGAGATTCAGGGATGTTTACTTTAAAAGAATTCACGTTAACGTTTTTAGAAAATATTTACCTTATCGATCTCAATGTATGTATATATATATATATATATATATATATATATCAGGATATATATTATATCATTTTAAATGCTTCAATATGTTTTTATTATTATATTATATTATATTAGCCTAATAAGTAGCCTAATAAATTGATTACAAAAGAGGAATTAATGAGCATTAAATAAACATTTAATTTTTAATTTGTAACAGAGATGGGCATTTGAGTTAGTGACTTAGACTCGAGTCGCATTTTTAAGACTTGACTTCAGACTCGACCTAAAATGACTCCAGAGCAAGACTTGATTCGATTAGAGGAAAAGGACTTGTGAATATTTTAAAAGCAACTCGGGTCTATTATCCTTAAATACTTATATAACTGATATTCAAAAGGCAGACCGTGTCCGAACCCCGGCATCCATCCGCTTAAACTACAAATTTAAATACCTTCCATGTTTTCTCACACCCCTTGAGGCTTGGAAGGCAACAGAATTCCACCAATTCATGCAACTTATATTGTGTTGAAAGGAATTCTTGGGGATGACACAGACCTTAATTTTTTGCCATTAAGTGTGCGAATGTGCTTTTTAGTATCCTCAACACTGGTCAAAAACACTTAGATTAGGCAAGATGCTTGCTGCGCTTGTCAGTAGAGAATGTGAGCTTTATGGAAATTAGTTTACAACATCCACTCAGGTGTTGTGGAAGAATATATATATATATATATAACAACTGCTGCTGATGCCCAAAGAGAGAGGTTTAAGGCTTGTGGACAGTCTGTAAATAAAGACCAATTGGATAAATTCCTGACAGGTATAATTGAGAGCCAGCATCCCATGGGGACCATACCAGATGGCAACCATGATCATTTCCTGGAGGAAGACTCAAGCTACTAGAACTAAAGGGAGGCCTAAATGTTGTACCCTAATGTTGTGTTTCAAAGAAGAAGACACAAAGAAGTCCTGGAGTAGCTCTAGTCTTCCTCAAAGAAATCAGATCATTAAACTCTCGACTAGACAAGGTCTAGGACTATTTAAAACCATGACAGAGAAAGCAGAATTCTGTTAATCTGGTTTTAAAGGTCATTTTAGTCCAGGACTAGACTTGATCTCTGCCAGGGAAACTGCCCACAAAAGGCATAAATCATTTTATGAGATTAAAGTTTTAAATATAGGCCTGGTTTCAGAGGCAGGGCTTAGACTAAATCAGGATTAGGCCACAGTTTAATTAGAACATTTAAGTAATTTTTATAAATATGATTTAGAAAGAAAGAAAAAGCATTACCGGTGTGCATCTTGAGGCAAAACAAAGGCACTGATATATTTTAAGGTCAGTCAGTGCAAGTTTCTCTCAGCTGAAACAGCTCAGATTTCCATTTTAGTCTGGGACTAGGTTTAAGCCTTGTCTGTGAAACCAGGAGATTAAGTTTTAGGCTACAGAATATGTGAAATTTAAACTGCCAGTAGGTGGCAGAAAGTCCTAATAAGTGAATCAGAGAATCATTAATTTAGCATTGTGTGGATCAGTTTGAAGGGGAAGAGGGAGAAGTCACCTCTGATTGATATGACTGTGTGTTTAGTCATCAAACATGCCAGATAACATTTCACTGAACTTGTAAATAGATTAACCCTTCAAAACTGTATGACTTTAAGATAGAATGATAATCCATTTAAAGTCTGAATAACTGTGCAATTTATTTGTATGAAAAATGTATAGCATCTACTGGACAGTTTAAATAACTACCCTAACCCAGTGGCATTTCGAGACCACAATTGTTACTCAAATGTTTCTTGACCAATTTTAGAGTGAAGGAGCTCAGTTTACAAGAAGCTGTACTGATTGGAAGTGCAACAAAGATTTTGCAAGGTTTAATATATGCAACACCTAATATAAGCAACAGCGGACATTTGGATAGTTTATTATTATTTCTCACTATGTAAACATGACTGAAATTAAATATTTACGTCACCTGTATCTTTTTTTTTTTGGTACCTCTGATGAAGATGTGAAACTCTCTCTGAACCATGTGGTCTCAGCAGAAGTCTCACTTTGAGTAATTTCCTCTTGACATAAAACTTTTAGCACAATTAGGTTTTTATTACAGCCACCACAGGACGAACAGCGCATTGCACCCAAAATCGTTTGGTGTCCAAGTCCAAGCAGGAGGAGGCTACTAAAAGGGCCTGGAGGTCTCCTACACTCTTCACTGGTGTAAATGCTAGCAACAGGGGCACTTTGAGAGAGCATTTGGAGCACTCCAAAGACTCAAAAGGAGCTTTCGTTAAGGCTCCTAGGACCAATGATAGGTCCCAGAAGGAAGCTCATGACCGACAGACAGACCTCAGCTGTCTAGCACCTCACAAGAACCGAGACACCAAGGGGATTATCCCAACCAAAGCTCCATCCAAAGGAATATGGGTAGCGGAAATAGCGGCAAATATACGTTCAAGGTAGTCGAAGCCAACCCTGCTGAGAGACATTCTTGAAGGAACTCTAACACTTGACCAACCGGGAAGATAACTGGGTTCACCTATTGCTGTCTACACCATGTCATGAAATGTTGCTATTTCAGGGCATACAACATCCTCTAGCACTGAGGATTGTGTTAATAACCTTGGCCGAAAGACCAGATAATATGTACCGGTATTCCTCAGGGGCCAGACCTAACTCCACATCGTACACACAGTTTATGTCTGAATTATAAACTTTTATCCCAGTACTTCTGTGATTTGAATGTTTGTAACAGAAATAATGATACTGTGTCCCTGAAAAGACTGTGAAGCTGTTTCATTCATGACAGACAGCTGCTGTCTTTAGGTCAATGGCAGTGCGAATGCAAATTTAAATGTTCAAATCACACTGGTGTGATTGCACGCTGCACGGATGAACCAAGTGATCACAACATTGATCGAACATGTCAAAGGTTGAGAAATGAAACGGACGAATCATTGTAATTTAGGAATAGAATCATGTTGGTCTTTGAATCGTGTTCGCGATCTTTAACGATCTAGTAATTTAAAGTGCTTTGTCATGTTGGTGGTGACGGCTCTCTTGCAACATGTTTAGCTATCACAGATATTATACTTAGCTTTTTTGGCTTCTGATCTCAAATGTAGCCAAATTTTGGAGCGCTTAGATTAGCGAGCAAGGTCCTGGTAGATCGCTAGCTCCGGTCCTCACAGATGAAGAAAAAAAAAGCGCATAGGAATCGATAGGCGAAATCTAAATTTTAATTTGACAACAAGTATCCGATTCCTGACCTTAAGTATCCGATTCTGAAATCGGAATCGATTTTCAATTCTCAACCCTATTCCTGACCAACATGTGGTAGTCCCTTAGCTGTGGGAGGACATGTTTACGGGCTAGAAACACTGCCTTCATCTTAAAGCAATTTATGTACCATGAAAGATGAGGGCTCTTCTAATGCCAGACCTCTGTTGAGGAACCCTGGCTTTTTCCAAAGGCATAGAGTACGTAGCTCTCTACACATGAGTCTTATGATCTGGGAGGCATGATTCAGAGGATGAAAACCTCTTCACTTGAGCCAGAACTGAAAAGGTCTCATGTTGAGCAGACCCATGCATGCTGCCAGCATGAGACCTAAAAGCCTCTGAAATTTCAAAATAGAAAGCTCCTGGCCTGGCTTGAAGTCTTTTACAGGGTTCAGAATTGAAATCACATGTGCAGGAGACAAATCTGTATCCTGTATCATGGCCAAATCCTGCATTACCCCTGAAAAAACGTGGCTCTCTGATTGGGAGAAAGTATGAGCCAATCGACTATGTAATTCAGTAAACAGATGCCCTGGAGTCACAGAGGAGCCAGAGCAGCATCCATGCACTTGGTGAATGTGTGTGGGGACAAGGCTAGGCTGAAAGGAAGAACTCGATATTGGTAAGCTTCTCCCCCGAAAGCAAACCTGAGAAACTTTCTGAGTTCTGGCAGAATGTCAGTGTGAAAATAGGCCTCCTTTAAGCCCGAAACACACTGCACGATTTTTGGCTGTCCCAGACGAAAGATTGGCATCGTGAAACAATCGTGGCAATTTCTGTGATCGTGGCTCGTAATTGGTGGTCCTACGTCATACAGTGAGACAGGTTCAAAAACGGCCATTGTCATGGTCTTGCGACCAAAGATAGCCTACGATAGTTCTGACTGTGTCAGAAATTTAGCATGATCATCGCACAATGCGTTTGCTGCTACGACCCACATTTACTGACCAGCCAATACAAATGCGACATGAAATCAACACGACATGGCGGCAAAACTTAAAAGTGCTTACCTCAAGCTCTTATTCCTTCCTCTTTCACCGCTTCCACTTTTTTTCAGAACACATAAAAACCGCCAAAGTGTGATTCATCATACTCTTTTTGTTGACCACTAGCACATGCTGATAACATTTTATTTGTCTATAGAAACATGCGTTGTAGCCTACGAGTCACAAGGTGTCATCATCGTACAGTCTACACGCATGTCGTACCCAAGTATATTACATCCATGTCGCACAGTGTGATCTGCAATGATCTCATAGGATTATTAAAATCGTGCAGTGTGTAGAAGTCTTTAGATATGTCATCACAAACCAATCCCTAAATTGAATTTGTGACACTAAGTCTGAGACTAAGCATCTTGATTCTGTATATTCTGTATAGTATGGTTCAGGCCCCTCAGATTGTCCTTTTTGGGTACAATAAGGTTCCAGCTGAAGAAATCTACCTCTCTCTCTTGTAGGGGTACATGACCTATGCTTGAGAAATTTCCTGTCTCCTATCTGGTGCACTTTGATTACTACCATGCCTCAGAAGAGGGGTGGAAGGGAGGCTAACCTAATCCTGTAACCTTTTCTTATGGCCTTCATGACCCACTGAGAGAGCCTGGGCAGAATTTGCCACACTACCACAAAGTCTGACAAAGGAATCATCCCACAATCTGAAGCACCTATCTGCTTATCTACATACAGCTGTTCAGTATCAGATCAAGAAAGCATGATTTCATTGTTCTGGTCTAAAGAATTTCTGATCTGAAAAGTTTGCATTAAAATGTCAAAACCATCAAAAACCATCACTCATCCTGATTTGGGGCCTACCAGTGGTATTATATTATGTTCCAAAACTAGCATGTTTTACTAATCAACCGTAAATTGGCAAAGTACATACTTTCAGTGTGCAGTGTAAGTAAGGGACATTGAATATCAGTGATGTTAAAACTATTCTATGTAACCATTTCTCCCTTGCACTGTATGTCATTATCAGCTGATGACCTACAGCGCACAAGCTTGGTTGTTCTTGTTAATCTATTTGAAGAAAGCACAAAGATCCGAAGATTGCTGGTGTGTCAGCGGCTGATGAAATCTCTATTTTTAAACCACCAAGCACTTAAGTATGTAAAAATGAAGAGGCGTGGCCTAAAAGTGCTGCAGCTGTAGTATGAGTGGGAGGAGCAGGTCTGAGAAACCACAAAATTAAGCAAACTATGCACTCTTCCTCTTTGCTCTGCTTCTCTATGGTGAAATTTTGGATTTGCACTGTGGAAAGTAAAAATGTTCAGATAAATGTTCAGCTATTGGTTCCCACAGGAACTGACTGATTGATTTAATTCAATTTAATTTAATTTCATATGAGCTTCATTTCTTACCTACCAAAGACATCTGGCAGTTCCTGACAATGCAGCTGGTGTCATTATGAGGTCATGTGGAGAATGGAGATCATCACGGGGCATAAAACATGCTGGGACACCCCCACAACCTGAGCACCAAAAAGTCAAAACAGCAATGCAAAAAACGTCTGTCAAAGAATGTAATATGACATTCTACAGTATATAATATGAATTAAATTCATACATACCTCGTGAGATAAAGAGTAAAGTGTCTATTGGATGTGCACTTCAGAATCACAGGTCATCCGATTATTTTTCATGTACTGTTTTATGAATACTATGAATTTGGACATACTACTCATTTTATGTACTGTTTTTGGCCTTGTATAATAGGGCAGTAGGCATATTAGGTATAGCATCTACCTAAAACCTTTATATTAATAGGTTATATGTCGAACATCACCTGACCAAACCCGGAAAACAGGTCTCATTGCTTCCGCTTTTCGGAGAACGTGTTAACAGCCGTATTAAATAATAGCGATATCTATGGACTTTTAATATAATCAGTTAAACTAGCTAGCTGTTTTTATTGTTGACGTTTTATTCCATTTTTATATCTAAATATGAAAAGAATAAAAATAAAAAAAACTTTTAGATATCAGTCTGCATATGTGATGGACATTGGTTATGATCATCATTGGTATCTACTTTGAAGTCATCTAGAGTAAAACTGCTTCATATTTAACTAAGGATATGCAAAACGCTTGAACCGGAAGCGACGAGACCTGGTTAACAGAATACGGAAGTCTGTTGCGCATAACCCCTATTAATATATTATTAATCGTCTTTATCAAAATGTAATCAATTATTTCGATTTTCCTTCTTTGCTGACATCACTAATTTCTCTTAATTTTCAGCCTCTCTCCTCCAACGACCTCCATTTTGATATGTAACAGCCACTTTTCACAATATAATCACCAGTAGATAGAATCATGTGCTGCCCTACTTTCTTTCTTCCATTTTTTTATATCTTGTCTCACTCAGAAATCATCTGTGTCAAATGTGTTGTGGACATATTTTCACAGTTTTCTACTACTGATACAAACCTGTTTTTTTCCACAATGGTTTGTGGGCAATATAAACCCCTAAAACAAGAATGAAGAAAAGTCCACAGCAAATAGTTTGCTATCCAGGCACATTTGCCTTTGTTCAAAAAAGTGCTTAATTGTATTCAATGTGCGCATGTTGTCTACTTCAAATCTTGAAAGTATATATATTTTTAAAACTGTTCTAGAAGATAAATTAATATTAATGAAATAAAAGGTCACTTAAGTGCACTTATTATTTTCATACTATGATTTGAGCCGCATTATCCTTAATCTTGCATTCCATATAGCCAAGAATTGGGATGCAGCCATCGCTAGCACACAGCGCTTTGCCCCTGAGATATTTATGGAAGCAGGTGGTACACCATCGTGTGGACCAGTGCCAGACAGCCACAAAACATGAGAAATATGGTTCCAAGTGCAACAAAGATATCTTTCAGGTCAGAGGACTGGTTTTGTCCTTTAGCAGTCCCTCGAAAGGTGCTGGAGTAGGTCGAAAGGTCGGAGAAAAACGGAATGTAACCAGCAGGATTAATCGGTGCATGTGTAGTTATTTCCTGTCCACACACAGGTAACAGCTTTCAGACCAAATACACTCATCAAATCTGCATATTGATCAAATGGTACTTAGCTTAGCATAATTTGTGCTAGCCTAGAATTGCAGAGTTCTTCTCATAAACTGAAGATTAAGATTATTTCTGTCAACAAGGTACTTAAACTAAAGATTTATGGTGCTTTTACACTGCATGGTACGGCACGGTACGGCTCGGTACGGTTCACTTATGGGGGGTTTCCCAGTGGGTACAGTACCTGGTACCTGGTACTATTTTTTTAGTACCACCTCGGTTGAGGTTCCAAGTGAACCGTACCGTTACCAAAGTGTGACGTGTAAACTCTGCTGATCACGGATTGGCCGGAGAGAATCGTCACTACCTGCGTCACTGAACTTGCGACACAAACGCAACAGAACCGCTAGATTTAAATCAGCACAGCCAGCGAAGGATCGAATGCAACTGTTTTGAACGAACGCACCTTTTTTTTAACATCGAAAAATGGCTGTTTCGTTGTCTGTTGAGGAAGTACAGATGTTCCTCTCGTTGACAGCAGAGGAGCGGATCCAGCGAGAGCTTGATGGGGCAACGCGGAATGAAAAAGTTTTTCAGGAGTCGCGGCAGTAGAGGCGGCACAACTATAACGACATGTGAATAATCCCGCTTACACTAAAGCGGTACTAAACTGCAGTGGAAACACAAACCGAGCCATGCCGTACTGAGCCGTACCACGCAGTGGAAAAGCGCCATAAAGGGTCAAAATAATAAAATATAGTAGGCTACATAAAGTTGTACAGATATAAAACATGTGTATTAGCGGTGCTTGCTAAGGCTATTGCTAATACTTAGCAATCAGAAAAGCTGTTGATAAAATAGCAATAAAAACCACACAGCAACATAATTAACATTGTTGAATGAATTTAATTTAGAGTCCGAATTAGGACCCCAATGTGTTGTCAATTGGCTACAAAAACTTTTAATGGGCACTTTATTCAGTGCCTGATTTAAAATCTCAACAAATGTTGTAATGACCACAATGTCCTCTAAATTGTCATATGTAATAGTAAATAACCGAAGTTATAGACTGTGAAATTAAACATTTCTCATTCTTTATTCATTTAGATTCTGTAGCTTACTTTTTGCATGCTGTTTGTTGTACTAGCTTATCATACTGCTAGCTGATTAGCCTGCTAGCTTAGCATATATAGCATCCAAATAACAACATTTGAATTTAAAAATGATTTCTTGTGATGTTCGGTGTTATATTTTTATCCATATTATTATCCAGAGTATTTGTTTCATCAGGCATTAAGAGTGTACCTCAGGCATTAAAATTTTAGTGACCTAAATCTCTAAAACGCTAGTGAGTTTTGCCCATTCAACTCACATTTTCTTATAAAATGTAAATATATTCTTTTGGTTTATTGTTAAATACATAATCAGTCAAAAATCAAATGATGTGAATGTTGCTGTATCCCTGCAGGAAAGAAAAGAAGCTAAAACCAGCCTAAGCAGGGGTGAGTTTCCCAAAAGCATTGTTAGCTAACTATAGTCGTTAGTTCCATTGAACTCTGTCGGTAATGACAGAACTTGCGACCATAGTTGCTTTTGGGAAACGCAGCCCAGGTTGACTGGTCTAAGCTGGAAGTAGCTGGTCTGACTGAGCTGATCAAGCTGGTCTCCAAAACCAGCATGGCCGAGCTGGTTTTGTCTTGTTTGTCAGCTGGTCTCCCAGCTTCACCAGCTAACGAAATGGTCAAAACCCATATAAAACCAGCCTGCAAACCAGCTATGACCAGGCTGGAAGACATTTTTTTTCAGAAGTGTCATCAGGCATTAAGTTTGGTTATATCTCCTTGTGGAACGAACATTTCTCACATTTTCCTCCAAATTGTAATTTGGTTTATTGTTGAATACACAATCAGTCAAAAATCATATGACAGTGTTGGTTGCTTGAATATGTTGCTGTAATGTGCCACTTTTACACAGATTTTTAGCAAGTACACTTGTAGTGGGTCGAAAGGTATTTTTTTTAAGTCTTCAATCTGCAGTACTGGAATTACTCGTCGGCTATAGCAATTTGTACAAATGTGGGTGGAGTTTTTGTGTCTGATTGTGCATTTGCTTGTGCAAAATTACAAATGCGCGTTTGAGTGAGAGAACAGACTTTCAGAAGTGGTTGATTACCCTTTGAGCCAACTACCCACCACCTACTATTTTATTGTACTGTAAAATTTGAGGTTTTATACCTTGTGTTACACTTTAATAGCATGATTTTTTTCCATTTTAGCCAGTCTTGATGCAGCTAATGAGATGAAAGCATTTAAAAACCTGAACCTCATCAAAGCAGATATATTTAACCTGAGAACATTCTCACTAATGCTTGGTATCATTGCCACAAGTTTCGCAGGAAGCTGATTTTATAAACTCTGGCATGCATCTTCTGAAATGTGATGCGACTGACAAAAAAAAGTGGAAAAAATTACTAATTTTACTTACAGTTTCTCTTAAAGTGCTAAAGAGAAGTAAAGAAAAGAGGAATTTACATATGCATGTACTTTTGATTCGCTATATTTTGATACACAGGGTAAGAATTCTCATCTTGAGTAATCAGTCTCTTTAAATTCTCTTCACTAATAATCAGCCTTTAAAGTTCATTACTATCTTACTGTGTCCAGACAGTCAGTAGGTTGTCACTTTGAGTTTCATCTTTGCACGCCTCTCTCTCTGTGCTACTTCCTCAAACAGGCGAGAAGCCAAAAAAAGAGAGGAGAGAAAAAAAGAACAAGCAAGGAAGTGGTATCTTGCAGCACTGCCTACATGCAGTGTAGCTTGTAAAGTGAGAAATAGTCAAGAAGCTACACATTTCAAGTTTTGTAAGCCATGTGAGAGAAGAAAATGTTTGAGTTTGGCATCACCATTGAATCAAAATGAAACCTTTTTGTGTGTAGGCTACATGACCCATGTTTAAATCCAAAAATGTCACTTCTCATGAGACATTCACATATTATAGATTAGTTTGGTCACATTAAGTAAGCAAATCAGTGCATAGAAGATATCAGTCATGCAAAAGAGATTCTAAAATACAAAAAAATGTAAATATACTTTAGCAGATACGTTTATACTATTATGGGATACAAAGCCAAACCCTTTGGTCATGATTGAATTCACAATATGGCTTCCAATAACATATTGATTTTATAACATTGTTACAATGTTTAAAACCACTGAAGTCAAAAAGTGACAGCAAAATATCAAGAAAATTTAAACATTCTTTCTTCTGTAAAATATATATTTGTATTAGCGGTGTGTAGTGGACTTACGAAGCGAGGAGGCAAAGTCACATCACTGGCTTTTGGGTTTATTAATATTTATCTTTTCGGACCATAAGTCAATTCCTCGCAGGCACAGAGGTGTAGTTTTCATTTAAAAGACTAGAGTGGTCGCCACCTTGCTCACAGATCTTTTCATAGTTTATCATTAACGAAATGTCTATTTACACTAAGTGTAAATAGCCCGCCTTGTTGGCAGAGGCTATGTACACTAGCTTCACCCACAAACGTGTGCTAGGAATGGTCAACACTATAAAAGACGGCCGACAATCATCAGCTTCAGTTGCGTAGATGGTAAAGCGCGTACTGTGGTCTTTTTGATGCGATCGACCCGGGTTCAAAATCCACCTTTTACCGAACTTTTTTTCTCCCTTTTCAAATCTCATATCACATCGGAAATATTTATTTTCAATAAAAATTAAGGAAATAATCAAAAAGTTGAAAATAAAGTATTGGTAGGGTTAGGGTAGGTGTAGGGAGGGCTTTATTGTTCCAATAAGGTGGCATCCATTTAATAATTTGAATTAAAATGATCATTTACACTCAATATGTTATTACTGCATACTGTTTTATAATGTACCATAATACTGAGGTGCAGATAATTACCACTACTATAGTATATAATTAAGCAGTTAAGTTAAGTAGTATAAATAGCAAAAATCCTGCTATTTTAACAGTGTAAATATAATCTATTGCTATCTGCACTTAGGGTAAATAGCATATTGTTAAAAATACTGCTATTTTCACTTAGTGTAAATAGCATCTATCACTAAGAAAATATGCTATTTGCACTTAGTGCCGCTGCCTATAATTAATTTGTGTATATATTCGCTCGACCCATTGAGGCTTATGTGGTATTTCGCCCTCCTCACAATCTTGCCATGCGTTAGAATATCATTGAAGACCTAATGACAAAATTTGTTTCTTAAACACTAATTGGGCTCGTTTTGTAATTGTTGTATTTTTGGCTTCTGTATTGATCATTTTCTTATCCAAATTTTTTAGGAGCCACCGCCCCTGTAGAAGATGGCCTTTTCTGGCACATTATGTACTTATGTACACATTCTGTATGCATGTATGTGTGTGTGTGTGTGTGTGTGTGTATACTACAATATATACAGTGGGTACGGAAAGTATTCAGACCCCCTTAAATTTTTCCCTCTTTGTTATATTGCAGCCTTTTGCTAAAATCATTTAAGTAATTTTTTTTCCTCATTAATGAACATACAGCACCCCATATTGACAGAAAAACACAGAATTGTTGACATTTTTGCAGATTTATTAAAAAAGAAAAACTGAAATATCACATGGTCCTAAGTATTCAGTCCCTTTGCTGTGACACTCATATATTTAACTCAGGTGCTGTCCATTTCTTCTGATCATCCTTGAGATGGTTCTACACGTGCCTTGCGAAAGTATTCAAACCCCTTCATTTTCTTCACATTTTGTTATGTTGCAGCCTTGTTAAACTGCTTTAAATTACTTCAATCTACACTCCATACACCATAATGACAAAGCAAATAACAGGTTTTTAACACCAACATATTTAAATATATAGCTGTCTAAATGAAGTCTTTAGCAATGCATTTTAATAAACAAAATATTTTATATCAAAAAGTTTGTATATATTTACAGTAGGAAATTTACGAAATATCTTAATGGAACATGATCTTTATTTAATATCCTAATTATTTTTGGCATAACACAAAAATCGATCATTTTGACCCATACAATGTATTTTTGGCCTATTGCTACAAATATACCATGCTACTTATGACTGGTTTTGTGCTCCAGGGTCACATATATATATATATATATACACAGTGCCTTGTGGAAGTATTGTGACAATTTCTTTTCATTTGATTTGAAATGTTCACACATTCAAGTAGAGGTGATTTTAGTTTTAAATGTGTATCTTCTGAAGGTGCTGCTCTCACTATGGATGCTGGTCGTCAGAAAAAAAAGCAAAAATGAGATCATTTTCTCTCATTTCCCATATGAAGGACGACACAGTAGAAGGCGAGAGATGTGTGGCGTAGATGAAAATGCAACTTCCTGTTAAGAAAGGGCCTTAACGCAAAGCTGAAGAGGAGAGTGTCTCTGACACTGCTCTGCTGTCTCTAGACCCCAAAAAAACAGTTTAAGGATTTTTTTGAAGGTGAACACTCACCAGCAACAGAACCGACTGAATAGTCACATGAGAACACGTAAGACACGTATAAAAACAGAGCAAGAGAGACCAAAAAGCCAGTACGCTTTCTGATGGTTAACTTAGATCTGTGTCTGTTTCAAATAGGACATATGGTGTCTTAGAAGCTGCTTTTGAACTCTTGGATATGGCGAGATTTTTTGCGCTAGAACCCTTGGTTTTGGTCCTATGCTTGGTCTTATGTGAGTACAACATTTTATTTTTACAGGTTTTTTATAATTTTTTTTTTATAAATATATATTTACAAGCAAATTTGCGATGGTATATGTATATATATTATAATTTTTTTAAATTATATTTACTGCTGTGTTTTGTATTATGTGGCATTTTGTGAATTAATTGTTCGCATAACTTATAGAAGGTCATTGTCGTGGTGTAGATTCATTCATATTTTGGTCCAGTTTCTGTGTTGTGTGTTATTAGTTTATTGAAGCTTATTTATCATCACTAGCCGTAACACTAAAATACTAACATAAAATGAATTAGTGAATGAGTGTTTATTCGAATCTTGGCAGGGATGTCAATGATAATTAAATCGTAATGTGTACAAGCAGGGCAAGCTTATTTTGGCGCCTGAGTCCTCAATTTATTTTAAGTATTGTTTGTTAGAAATATTATTATTCTACTGAGAATCTCCACCGTTGTTAACCAAGAAGAAGGGGAATTCTCTTTAGACGGCCAAAGTGAGAAGTTGTTGCTTTGTACAGCATCGGAGTAAAGTCAGAGCTCACAAAATGTTGCAAAAGAGCGCTTTGCAAAATGCCTAACGTGATTTTTTTCGAAAGGTTCTGTGGCGGGACACTTGTGAGAGGTGTGTTGGGTTCTAGTTTGTATTACCTGGTAAAGGAGCTGTCAAAGATCTGGCTGGTTTGGGCGTATCCCCTCAAACTCGCTCAAGGTTCTGCTAGATTTGAGCGGTGCGGAGGCCGAGCTGTCAGTCAATCATCCCTGCTTTCACATGGCACAATCTGATGGATGCTGTTGAGGATCTCCTTGTTATATGATAGAGTGCTGTTCAGCTGTCTTGAAACTAAAGGTTCTCAGGTTCTTCTTGTGAAGAACCATTTTTGATGTTCTTGAGTTGAGTCCTTTGGAGTATTGTGGGAAAATTGCATCAGGCTATTGCATCAGCAACTGAAATTTGTATTTTTTGCATGTTTAATAATATAATGTAATATATATAATAATAATATAAAAGCGAGCGAGAGAGAATAATAATAATAATAATAATATCATCACATGACAATATCACAAGTTACAATATCAGTGATCACACATGATTTTTCTTAACATATTTTGAGTGCACATTAGGTATTCTATTCTATTCTATTACAGTATATTATTCATTTGAATGTCTCTTGGGTGTCACATCGCATGATACTGTTGAACATGATGCCTCGCTGCACATGCCTCTGAACACTTCCTCGTTCCATTTTGAGCCGGTTTCTGCGTCTCATAGATTTGCCGGCTAAAATGGTGCTTGCGCGAGTCGCTGAAGAAGTGCCGTGAGACATGTTGCATCGAAATGTCTTTTCACTATATTTAAAAGTGTTGTGGCTTGAGACCGGATGAGAATCCTTGTGACTGCACTGTACATGCAAATCACATAGAAAAGGCAGAAAGGCATCGAAAGATGGGCGTACATGTGAGCTCGAGGCCTTAAGAGTCAGTGCTCATGGGAATATTCCTGAAATCTACTTTTCAGGCTTATTTCAGTGTCTTTATTTGTCCGTATGTTTATTTAAAGGAAAGGCTCATTTGAAAATAAATATTGTCATCATTTACTCACTTTCATGTTGTTCCAAAACTGTACGACTTTCTTTCATTTGTAGAACACAAAAGAAGCTATTTAGAAGAATGTTCATGCTGCACTTTTCCCTACAGTAAAAGTTAATGGTGAGGTTTTGAGCCTCAAAAATGACTAAATGTATCATAAAAGTAGTTCATATGGCCTCTGAAGTCATACAATATCCGAAAGTCTTAAATCTTCATACAAAAATCTATCATATGACTTCAGAAGACTAGGAATATACTGAATGTCGACTCTGATTGTCATTTTGTGTTATTTGTGGAGCTTGACAGCTCATGGAAACCAGCAGCATAAACATACAGCATCTTCTTTTGTGGCCTACAAACAAAAAAGGTAAACGATGACCCAAAAGGAGTTAACTATTCTATCAATTACTAATTATGTGAATGGTGCTGTATGAAAATTTGTGTTTTAATTTTGAACATTGGTATATGCTAGATAGATATACATTTAAAAATGTCAAAAATATGATTTAATATGACCAAATCAACCTGACTCAAATAGGTTACACCGACTAATTTGAAGTGTGAAATCAGTTCAGATGATCTCCTCAAGGTATCAACTGCACAATGTTTGTGAAACCACTGAGGCAACAATTAAATAATAGTTTTAGCATTTCCTCCTTAGCGTCTTGCGTTAAAAGAACTCCTAACTTGCCAGTTTCTAAAACTTTACACTTTATTACTTGGCAAAACTTGGTTTTATTACATTATTCAATTTTTACAATCAGCTGATTTTTGATTATTACCATCATTTGTTGTATGTAAACACAATTAATATCAGGTCAAGTCTTGTCATTGGATTGATTGTTGATTTCACGCCTGCATCTTAAGAATGAGCCGTTTTAGTCACGAAGACTGTACGTACATGAACTCTGCGGTATATATCTAGGCCTATGTCGCGTTGCGTTGACCCAGTGTGCATTATTTTTGGTTGTGGGCGATTGCTTGGTCTTCGTTAGTTAGGAGACTGAAAAGAAGTGGCACAGTTTTTACAAACTAACAATTATTAAAAAAAAAAAAAAAAGAGAGAAGACTATAAAGTTAAATTAATTTAATTACTGTATTTTTTTACCTGTATGTTCCGTTAACTCGCTCTCACACTATCTGCACATCTTTGTGTGTTTTTAAAGATGGTAGATACGTGTTGCAACCTTGGCGTTGAAGTAAAAATAGTGATTTAAACAGAACGTTTAAGTCTGATATGCCAGGAAAGAATTAGTGAGGACTTTAATGGTGCTTTACTGTACCTTCATGGCTTTTAAATAGTTTTCAACGATTCTTTTTGTTGTCTTTGGGATTTTGTGCTGCTTATTAATTGTTAGGTAGTTGTTAAGTTTAGGTGTTGGGTAGGATTAGGGATGTAGAATATGTTCATGCAGAATATGTGCTGTATAAGTACTAATAAACAGCCAATATGTTAATAATATGCATGCTAATAAGCAACTAGTTAATAGTGATAGTTGGTCCCTAATAGTGATAGTTTGTAATAATAGTAAAATTATTGCCTTAAAATTTTGAGTAATGGTGCCAGTCAAATCTTGCAGTGTTTGATACACACTTTCAACCATTTGGAATGAGGAAAATCAGGTTAAACTCCAAAATTGATTAGAAATGACATAATATATTGTAACTTAAATGATTAAACCAAATAATGCTGAAAACATCTGTTGGGGAAGCTATTTTTTCAGATTTAAAGGAATTATTTGTACTTTTATAGTCTAAACATGAGCTTTAATTATTGTTTAAAAAGGTGTGTTATGTTGCATTACATTATTATTACAAATATGTAATATGCATTGTTTCAATAGCCAATGTTTGTGAATATAGCACAGTTTGGAGGTTTAGATCAAACTTTAAAAGCAGGTTAAATATCAATTTGCAGGAGATTGATGTTTTATGTGAACCACACTGCGATTACTGTGACAAGGCAGTCAAATTAAAATAGAATCTTTTGAAAGTGAACGACAAGAAAACTATCAAACTGGACTTTTCAAGTCACTTTTCTCATTCTGTCACGTTCCATGTAATGGGTGGACCTGCTAAAACAGCTACGCTCAAGATGCATGCACTTCAAGTTGTGAACCAAGTCAAGCAAAACCACATCCGTCAAAGAAAATAAGTGAAAAGTACTGCTACTCTGAGCTAAAACTACAGTTATCCAGAGTTAAAAGTTAAAGAAAGCTGTTTTGAGATTTTAAGAATTCTAAAAAATAATAAATCTTAGCAATCTTAGTATCAAAAAATACCAAATCTTTCCACAAAATACTTGATCTTGACACTGCATTAGATTAGTAGTCTAGTTAACTAACATTTGACAGTGTTCTGTTTGTAGTCGAAGCTCTCATGTAGAAGATTTAGAAGAGTTGCAAAGATGTAATTTGCATGTCTATAGTCTATAATCTATAATTATCTATCCCCACCCAAACGAGTGAGTTATATGGGCGTATATATATGCCAGAAGCACATATGCGCAGTGTATACTGAGCCGAACAAAAGAAAAGAAAGCAAAACGCCAGAGCCTTGAAAAGGGGGAAGGGTTTTGTCACGCTACAGGAAGCTGTGGTTGAGAAACTGAAATAGTTTGTGTGCACGCTGTGTTTCCATGGCAGCCAGGTCGCACCACATACAGACCACTGCTAGTAACTCCCTTCCCCTTTCTGACCAAAGCGGACCGTTTTTACAAGGAGTCTTGAGTTTCAATGAAAAGAGATGCGGAATATAATGCGAAGGTGTTTTTTAGTGCAATAGTTGATTTGTTTTTAAAATAAACAGAGCTTTTTAGTTGTCAGGGAAGTCGTTTATTTATTTTTTAGCTAAATAATTTGTATTAAGCAAATTAGAATTGGTAAATAATTGAATATATTGCCATTGCTACACTGTATTTTTTTTTTTTTTTTTAGTAAGCAAAGTAGTAAATAAAACAAGGATTTTATAGGTTTTACAAGAAAATACTATTTAATTTACGCACGTTAAAAAATAAATACGACCTCACGTTTTGTCAATCACGTTTACACTCTGCCTCTGAAACTTCCGTCCGTCTTAAAAAAAAAAGGATCGGGTTAAATTGTCTGTGTTTTTCGCGTCTGTAGCAAGCATTTTGAGAGGTGTTTGTGCGTGACGAATTTTTAGGATGACGCATACGGAAATTTCAGACACTGTGTGCCTGAACTTACTCTACTTGTCTTTATAATTATTTGTGAAATTTGCTAGCAATTTCTGAGTGGAAATTGTTTCTACACTATTTTTTTCCCCTCGGATCATCCAGTTTAAAGCACAAATTTCAATAAATTCTATACATTTGAAATATTCTGTAAATTCCCTATATCATCAAAGCATTATTTTCTGAAATAATTGCAGTGCTGTTGTAGTGAATTTTATCATGTAAAACATTGGCTTCATCAAAGGAGTTGAAAGTGTACGACTTGTTAGAAGACACTTTGGTCTGTTGTATGAGTTTGTAGTTTTAGTGTGTTTGTAGTTAAATCTTATACTGGACCACCTAAACTGAACTTGCTTTTACCTTTAGTCACAGGCCCCTCACCCTCACACACTGAAGAAGACAAAAAGCAGAAGCAGGTTATAGTCTTGCAGCAGTTTGTGAAGGATAGGATAGTGATAAGGATGTATGAGATGATGAAAAGGAGAAATCTTTTCAAAAACATGTTGCATGTTGCAAGTTCTTAGATTTAAATGTTTAAATGATGGTGATGCTTCCAGTCAGTTGTGTATCACTAATGGTTATGTATGTGTGTGTGTCTGTGTCACACTTTTTCTTTTATATAAGGCTGTATTTTGGGGTCAGAAAATGTATATATAAGTTAAAACTGGATGCTTAGATATTATTTCATGCTGTCAATCCATCATTACAGTCCCTCAGTCAGACTCCTCCACTTTTCCCAAAGCATCAAACACACCTGCAGACACCACCGAAGGTAAAGCGGAACATCAATCTCACACTCCTGCATTATTATACTTTCACACACAATCTCTCACACTCTGACCTCCAGCTTCCCATCATGCTGTGATATGAGCACGTCACTGATCAAGTGGTTTATTTATTTAGATATTTCTTTATTCATTCATTTATTTTGTATGTTTTGTTTTCTGTTATTTATTTATTTATTTTTGAGAGAGCGGTAGAGCGAGTGACCCAACAAGAACTTTTTAGGCTACACCAGGCTTCACATTTAAGATCCTGTGATATAATTAATATTAAGCATCTGTTTTTTTTTTGTTCATCAAAAAAGAAACCCAGATCCTGTGCTTTAAAAGTGTATGACTTGCTAGAAGAATCTGATTTGGTCTTTTGTATGAGTTTGTAGTTTTAGCGCGCTTGTAGTTAAATCCTGTACTGGACCACCTAAAATGAACTTGATTTTCCCTTCAGTCACAGACCCCTCACCCGCACACACGGCTCCACAAGTCACAAAATCAAGCAAAACAGGTAATAGTCATCCTCTTTGACATGCTATCTTGCAGCAGTCAGTGACAAGTAAGGATGTACGAGACAATGAAAAGGAGGAATCTTATTAAAATCTCATTTAAAACATGTACCGAGTCCGTAGATTTAGACATTTGTTTCAAATGTTTATAATATTTCTACAAAAACATAAATCAATAAATGAAAGATATTAACTCTAAATATGTGAAGTGGCGACCATCAAACACAACACTTAAAAATGTGTTTGAACTTTGACTTCCCATATATTTTATTGTTGACATCAAAGGTCACTGAATCTCTTTTTATTGTTGGCAGGGAATTTGAAAGTGCACGACTCAGTAGAAGAAGCTTCTTTGATCCTTTGTATAAGTTTGTAGATTGTAGTAAATCCTATACTAGGCTACCTAAAATTAACTTGCTTTTCCTTTTAGCCACAAGCCCCTCACCCTCACTCACTTCTACCCCAGTCCCTAAATCAAGTGAAGCAGGTAATAGTCCTCTTTTGATATAATTTTTTGCAGCAGCTGCTAGTTAGATAATTTAATTGTTTTAAAAAAAGTTTTGAAAAAGTTTTTTTTTTTTGAGAACAAAATAAAACGAGTACTATACTAATACAATAGTTAATCAATTTGAGATTGGCTTCAATACCTCTATCTTTTATCATGCAAGATATAGGCTTAATTCAAGAGATTTAATTTGAGCAACTTGCTAGAAGAGGCTTCATTGGTCTTTTGTATAAGTTTGTAGTTAAATCCTGTACTGGACCACCTAAAATGAACTTGCTTTTCCCTTCAGTCACAGACCCCTCACCCGCACACATGGCTCCACAAGTCACAAAATCAAGCAAAACAGGTAATAGTCATCCTCTTTGACATGCTATCTTGCAGCAGTCAGTGACAAGTAAGGATGTACGAGACAATGAAAAGGAGGAATCTTATTAAAATCTCATTTAAAACATGTACCGAGTCCGTAGATTTAGACATTTGTTTCAAATGTTTATAATATTTCTACAAAAACATAAATCAATAAATGAAAGATATTAACTCTAAATATGTGAAGTGGCGACCATCAAGCACAACACTTAAAAATGTGTTGTATATATTTAAAAATATATATATATTTGTGTTATTATATTGTAATTATTATAATTTAAACATATTAAACATAAACATATTTTGAAAAAGAAATTATACATGCAAATATTAACTATAAAATATTCAGCAGTTTTTCAACTTAGACTTCCCATATATTTTATTGTTGACATCAAAGGTCACTGAATCTCTTTTTATTGTTGGCAGGGAATTTGAAAGTGCACGACTCAGTAGAAGAAGCTTCTTTGATCCTTTGTATAAGTTTGTAGATTGTAGTAAATCCTATACTAGGCTACCTAAAATTAACTTGCTTTTCCTTTTAGCCACAAGCCCCTCACCCTCACTCACTTCTACCCCAGTCCCTAAATCAAGTGAAGCATGTAATAGACAATAATTTTATTGTACACTGGACCAGTAAAGGAAATTGCAATTTTTAAAAATAGGCAATGTATTCATTCCTGTACTCATTAGCTTGTTGTGGTTTGTACTGCATTTGTTTTATTTATCTGGCGGAAAATTGGTGCCAACTTTATTCATATAAGGACTGTATTTGAATCTAGTTTAAACTATGTGATCATGTCAAATAGGTTCTTCTGACTCACCCACCACCATGCAACCCACTTCACCTACTTACACCGCCTTACCTACAGGTAATCATGACACCACACATCACCACAGCAGACACACAGTCAGTCTAACTCATGACCTCTGACCTCCATCCTCCCTTCATACTGCATTGCAACCTCCCCATCACTATCTCATGGATGTCATATGTCATGGATTAGTTGTCATGGACAGTGTTATATTTTTTTAAATAAATTTGATTTTTTTCTGTAAAGTCTGTTGAAGATGAATTATATGTAAATAATGCTGCTAACAGATGTTATAATGAGATATAATGGGTAAGTAGCTGCACGTCATGCAGTAATTTCAGTGCAATCACCCTTTGACACAAAAAAAGTTTACTTTCTTCATTCCTAGAAATAATTAAATTAAATAATTAAAAGTTGCATGATTTGTTTCTGATTAGGTTAATATCATTGTATCTATCTATCTATCTGTTCTGACCAAGTTAAATAATAGTTTTATCTCACACTTTCCACAGGTGGAGCTAAGAATGGTACAAGTAAGTGTCACCCAATTTCTGTTATTCTGTTCCTGATTTGAACTTATGAGTCAGAAAATCTATATCAGTGAGAACCTGATATGCTTAGATATTGTTTCCCGGTGTTCATCCATCATTACAGACACTCATTCAGACTCCTCCACTCTCTCCAACACAACAATCACGCCTGCAGATACCACCAAAGGTAAATCTGACATCACCTCATCAAACTCACACTCCTGCATTATTATTCTCTCACACTCTGACCTCCATCTTCCCATCATGCCGTGCTACACACACATAACTGAACAAGAAGCTTTTATTTACTCATTTGTTTGTTTGAGCTTTTTAATCGCTAATGTTAAAGCACCACATCTGTTTTGTATGTGATTTCAGTCAAGACCCCAGTGGCTATAAGAGAAACGTTTTATTTGATATAATAACCATTGTCATTTAGGGACATTTGCAGACCAGACAAACACATCAATCTCACCCGCACTCACCAACTCACAACAACAAAACACCAGCACCACTGCAGGTAACAGTGCATTTAACATTATACAGTATTTTTTCTGATTTTATTATTATTTACCAGTTTATCAGTTTTCAGTCTATATTATGTAAATAAATGAGCATTTAGTTGAGCTTATGCAGTTTATAGTAATAATAATCAATTTCAGTTTTAATGATATGTTTGTACACTGCAAAAATCTGGCACTATGTTGAGTCACCACGTGATGTGCAACTTCCTTAAATCCCATACTGGACTGTGTCAACATATTTATGAGATGAAATTTTTGTTTGATCAAATAACCATTACCATTTTTACTAAAGATAAAATCCTGACATCCTCACCCGCACCCACCTTGCAACAACACAACATAAGCACTGCTGCAGGTAACAGTGTGTTGAACATTATATTACATGTTTGTTTTGTTTTTTTGTGTGTATATGTACCGATTTGTCATATTTAATCAGTTTATATCATTTCAATCATTTTTTGACGATATGCAGTTTATGGTAATAATAATCAGTGTTAATGACAATTGTGTACAATACAAAACTCTTAATATCTCATACTGGACTGTGTCAACATACATGTATTTATGAGAGAAACAATCTGATCTAATAATCATTATCATTTAGGGAGTATTACTGATAATAACCAAACAAACACTTCAGTCTCACTCCCACACACCACCTCGCAACAACAAAACACAAGCACCACTGCAGGTAACAGTGTTTGTGTGTGTGTATACTAATTTGTCAGCTTCAATTTAATTTATTAGCTTTTATTTAATTTTATTTAATTGATTGTTATTTAAATCAATGTATACAGCGTTAAAGGAACACTCCACTATTTTTGAAAATAGGCTCATTTTCCAACTGCCCTAGAGTTAAATAGTTGAGTTTTACAGTTTTCGAATCCATTCAGCCGATCTCCGGGTCTGGTGGTAGGACTTTTAGCTGTAGCTTAACATAGATCATTGAATCTGATTAGACTGTTAGCATCTCGCTCAAAAATGACCGAAGAGTTTCTATATTTTTCCTATTTAAAACTTGACTCTTCTGCAGTTGCATAGTGTACTAAGACCGACGGAAAATGAAAAGTTGCGATTTTCTAGGCCGATATGGCTAGGAACTATACTCTCATTCCGGTGTAATAATCAAGGAACTTTGCTGACATACCATGGGTTCAGCAGGTGCAATGATATTACGCAGCGCCTGAAAATAGGCTTATTGGAAGTTACCTAGCTGGGGACTGTTTTCAGGCACAGCGTAATATCATTGCGCTTGCTGAACCCATGGTATGGCAGCAAAGTTCCTTGATTATTACGCCGGAATGTGATTCAATGATCTATGCTAAGCTGCAGCTAAAAGTGCTACTGCCAGACCCGGAGATCGGCTCAATGGATTCGAAAACGGTAAAACTCAACTGTTTAACTCTAGGGGAGTTGGAAAATTAGCCTATTTTCAAAAATAGTGGCGTGTTCCATTAAGCTTATGCAGTCTGTGCTAATAATACATTTTAATTTTAAGGACATTTTAGTATAATATAAATCTGGTACTATGTTGGGTCGTCACATGATGTCCAATTTCTTTATATCCCATATTGGATTGTGTAAAAGTATTTATAAGAAAAACATTTTATTTGACCAAATAACCATTATCATTTAGGAAATTTTACTGAACCTAATAACCAGACAAACACATCAAACTTGCCCGCACGCATCACCTTGCAACAACAAAACACCAGCACCACTGCAGGTAACAGTATATTGATCATTATATTTCCCCCTTTTTTAAATTCATTTTTTAGTTTGTTTGTTTTTCTTCAACTTATGTCCTGTGCATAAATTACTATTGTTGAGCTTATGCAGTATATGCACTGTAAAAGAAAAAAAATACTACATCATTTAAAGTTAACATTGACATTTTTGAGTAACAAATAATAGGAACGTGAATCTAAATTAATCCAATGTTAGACCAACATAATTCCCTCAAATGATGTCCCAACTAGTCAAACATAGTTGGAGCAAGAATTAAAAATGTAAAACTTAACAATACTAATGAAATAGTATTCAATACTTTGAAAAGTTTTGTGTACAGACGACAATGTTGTCAAAACGATCCCTGTTCACACACTGTATTATTCATGCAAGGCCAGTAGTTGGCGATGCTACATTGTAAAGAAACACATACTTGCAGACTGAACAGATAATACACATGACATCACTGTTTTCACTAATTCGTTTTCAAAAGTTTGTATTTTCAGGCCCCAAAACGACATTGTCGACTTGTGTAAATGTCAGTTGCTAGTTAAAAACAGTGTCATGTAACTGAAAATTTGTTGAACAAATCTATAGCTGCCTTAATTAATTTACTGGCTGAATGAGACATTTTTCATTTAGTGAACAAACAAATTGAAACTGGCAAAACAAAGTTGAATTACTCAGTACAATTTTTAAGATAATAGTGCGGAGAACCATCAGGAGTGCATCCGGAAAAATGTTTATGCTTTAGCAAAATTTTTATTTATTAATTCATTTATTCATTTATATTTTAAGGTGCTTTTTTTAACATAAATGTACATTTGTAAATATTTTTGTTCACACAATCATTATCATTTAGGGAAGGTTTTTGATTCTCGGTGTCAAAATCTGAACAACACACATGAAGCAAACTCAACCTCATGCACCACTTCAAACCAACACAACACCAGCACCACCACTGGTAACAGTGTAATATTGATTAGTTTGAGAATTGCATAAAGTAATACACAATAATAATAAAGATGCTTTACCCTAAGCTACAGGCCTCTCACCCACAAGCACTCCATCACAACCCCCATCAATAACAGTGAAAGGTAACAGTTCTTTAGTTAGTTAATTTTGAACTGTTATATATTAATGCATTTGTTTGTGTGAAGCAATGCAGTAAGCCATGTTAGTTTGCAGTATTTTAATATCCTGTTCAGCTCTTTTTAACTCTTTTATTGTCAACTACTGCCTCAACAAGATGTAGGGAATGACACCACCTCACATCCAAGCACTGGATCTCCCAACTCCAGCTCAACCTCACCCTCACCCACATTCACCACCACATTAAACAACACCACCATGGGTAAAATCACAGCATTTTTGCTCTCTGTACAAATAATTACTGTTTATTGTGATGATTAACTTGTGATTATGTGCTTTCCTCAGGTCCCACAAAATGTGAGTATTGGTTTTGCGCATGTTGTGTGAATTCAACTTTGATTGTGTTGTTAAGGACATGTTGATGATTCCTGTGAATTTGTGAATGTTCATATGCACTTACATACAGGTCAGTACATCCTTACAGACAGTAAGAATGAAGCAGAAGTCATTGTGGAGATTATCAATGACTCCAGTTTCCCAACGTACAGACTCAGATTGATGAACAATCAGAACAACACTTTGTTTGAGAGAAAAGGACCTTCTCCATTCAAAATACCGTTTAAAAGCTTAAAACCATGTACTGATTACACTGTCACAGTTGATGAATGTCAGCTTACAGAAAACCTTATTCATTTCAATGGTAAGTGTTTCTTGACTTCTATTTACAGTATAATGCTATTTTGGTATATGTGAATGTGAAGCTCCCTTTCTGTCAGTCATGTTTGACATTACATCAATACTGACATATGGGGGCTCACTTGTAATGCCTCCTTTGCCTCATTAATGGAATGAGGGTTACATATGTAACCTGGATGTTCTTTTGAAAGAACTTTAGTTGTTGATTTGTTTATGTACGTCTCTCCAGACAACATAGGCAGAATTGATGTCTTGATTTGCATTCATAACATAGGTTTCAATAAATTAATGTAAACCTGATTAAGAACATGATGAAAATAAGGTGAAGGTGGACAGTGTAAATGTTTGGCCATATGAAGTTCTTAGTGTATTTTATGATGTTGTGCTATGAATTTGTGTTTTATTCAATTGAATTGCTACTCATTTGCTTTAATGTTTTTAAAAATGGAAAGTAATGTCTCTGATTCTTTGTAAATTCTTTATTTCTCTTTAGTCAATAAAAGTACAAGCCATTCTGCAGAACTTGAGGGGGAAAAGAAAGTGTGTTTTAAAGATAGCAAATGGAATCTGTCAAAATGTGTTGATATAACAGATAACACCTCCTGTGTTCAGAAGGCCATTGGCATTGAACTAGACAAATGCAACTATACAATGAATGTTGACATGCCCCCAGGTAAGTATTTGATCAATTAAACAGTCTAATGTCTTAAAAATAAAGGTGCTTAAAAGGTTCTTCACATAGAAGAACCATTTTTGGTTCCACAAAGAACCATTCAGTCAAAGGTTTTTTAAAGAACCATCTCTTTCTTACCTTTTTTTAATCTGAAGAACCTTCTTTTGCCACAAAGAACCTTTTGTGAAACAAAGGTTTTTCAGATGTTAAAGGTTTTTATGGAACCATTTAGACAAAAAAGCACCTTTATTTTTAAGAGTGTATATGCAATTAAATATATTTATTTGCATATTTATATTGTGCATTTACATGACAATAACTCCTTTTTGTCTACCATTGGGAAAAATACATTTAATATATAGATAAAAAATCATAATTGGGGGGGGGGGGGGAGCACATTTTAATTAACAGAATGTTTTTTCCCCAGTCAAACCTGAAATAAACTTCACTGAAACTATCCCCACTCAGTTTGAGTGGTGTAATAAACCAAGAAACTGTCAGGGAAACAATTTTAAGGTCCACTGCTCTGGTAATGGTAAGTAATTGCAATGTGTGTTACATTTTTTATGCAAATGAATAAAGTTTTGTTTTAATCATATTTTTCATATTCATGTTGCTTTTGGAAGGCAAATCCGAGCAACATAACTTGAAAAAGGATGTGTTTTTGGTGCCTTCTGAAATGTACAACTGCACTGGAAAATATGAATTGAACAATACAGTCGTTCAAAGCAATCACAGACTAATTAACATCAACTGCGGTGAGTTGTTGACTTATATGGTTCCCCACACCTGCAAATAACAATAATGCCCTGGCTTGTAAATGTAGATTATACTCCAGCTGTTTTTTTATGTGAGCCCTGTAGACATTTATATAAATGAACTCTTAAAGCATTCAGTTGTTGGTTAATTTCATTTGTGTATTAACAATGTCCAACAGCAAATATACATATATAACAGTAGAATTGTCTTTCTTCTGCAAGTCATGATCATTCTCACCACAGTGTCATTTCTAGTACATTTTAAATCATGTACTCTGTGTAATATCATTCTGTGATGAAAATTATGGTGGCTGACTAATTTCAAGCTATCATTATTGTATGCAATAACATTTTTTTCATACTTTTGGCATAATTTGCTGAAATTGCAGCTTGCCTGGAAATGGCGCACAATAAAATTGTATTTTTCGCATGTGACATTTACCTTTTTCTTCATGCATAGCTAGTGAAAAATATAGGTCTAGACAAATTTTAAACAAAATCTATGTATAACTCTATGCATACAACTTTTGTAAATAAATGAGCAAAAAGTCGCAAAAAATGTTGAGGGCATTTATAAAACAGAGAAATCTGTTGGTTTTAATACAAGTTTGGAACATAAAGTGCCCTTAGTTGAAGAAACATCAAGCTGCATATGTTACTGTCTCATGCTTTATGTGTTGCCTTATTCCTGACTTCTGTTTTAACATTTACAGATTTTGATAATAAAACTGAGTTACCTGTAATAACCTACAACTCAGCTAAGATTCCATGGACTCTATCCTCAAAGAACAAATGTTCAAGTATTGAATTTACATTTTCAGGCATTTGTGAAAGTTCTGAAGCTCAAAGTGTTAAAGGTAAAAGCTCAGTATTTCCTCTAGGACTGCCAATTTTCAAATATCACTGAAATTGGCTATGAAATTATCAGCTGTTTGCATTAATCAAGTTAAAGAAACAGTCACACACACTAAAAAGTCAATCTTTATTTATGTGTATGCTGCTATTTTGTCTGTAGAACAATGTATGTATTAAACACAGCATGAAATAAAAAAACATTTATTTTCTATAATTCTACATCTGTGTGTGTGTACTGTACATACATACATATATACATAAACGTGTATGTTTATATTTGTGTGTGTATGTGTGTAAATATCTGATTATCTTTCCATATAAATAGTCATGCCGTTCGATGATACATTTAACAGTGTACGTTTACCATTTCACCTTTTCAGTCAAAGATTGTTCCAGGGGAGACTCAACTGGAAAGGGAAGTTGCACATTTGAAGTACTTGCATTTACCAGCTATACATGTGTTATTACAGCCAAAAACAACGACCTAATTTATACAATTTCATATACCATAAATACACCTTCTCACAGTAAGTGTCATGCTTTTAAATGTTTGTTTGCATAATTTTAATTTCTGTTCTTTATATGTAAAGAAATGTAACAATTTTTATGTCAATTTATGACCTACATAATGTTGACTATATTGGAATGTGTGGTAAAAAAAAAAAACCCTGTCTCTTATGTGAACATTGCCTTCTTTCTGTTTGTCTTCATTAACAATGATTCCCATTTTAGACCATAATGAAAGAAATATTATAATTTTGGAAAATGAATCATACTTTTACTATTAATGCTGCATATTTCACTAATTCAATTATTTTTATTTTGTAGTCCTGTGACTGCTTTTAGTTGTATCTTTTATTTAGTTAATTAGTTATTTAGTTATATTTAGTTAAACAAATAATTGAATTTCCTGAAAGTACACGTAATGGCCAATTTTTAACAACAGAAATGTCATTGAGATCATGCTCCAATAGTAAAACAAAAAGTTCTTATGAAATTATCAGTATCAATTCACATGTGAATTGTATTATTCTTTTTCTGTTTCAATAGAGCCCAAACTTGTGGAGCCAGATGTAATGGTATGGGGCACATCTCACAACTCTTTTTATGTGAACTGCAAGAACTTGAGTGGAAATGATTGGAATGGAAAGAAGGGAAACTATACAGCCAATCTCATAAACAAAGGCATAACTGAAAAAAATCTAACTAATAAGGACTGTTCATTTTCATTTGAAAATCTTTACTACCACACGGAATATAATATTGAGGTATTTATTTATTTTTGTAGCCTGAGTGGCATTATAGTGTTTTGATTTGTGTTTCTCAGTATTTATTTATTCAATTCAGATTACAGCCATGAATGGAAACGGCAATACGTCCACTGTTAAAATGACCAGATACACTACATGTAAGAGCAACCTTTTTTTATTCTAACATATGTGACCCTGGACCACAAAACCAGTCATAAGGGTCAATTTTTTAAAATTGAGATTTATACAACATCTGAAAGTTGAATAAATAAACTTTCCATTGATGTATGGTTTGTTAGGATAGGACAATATTTGGTCGAGATACAACTATTTCAAAATCTGCAATCTGAGGGTGCATAAAAAAATCAAAATACTGAGAAAATCGCCTTTAAAGTTGTCCAAATGAAGTTCTTAGCAATGCATATTACTTATCAAAAATTAAGTTTTTATATATTTACGGTAGGAAATTTCCAAAATATCTTCATGGAACATGATCTTTTCTTAATATCCTAATGATGTTTGGTATAAAAGAAAAATCGATAATTTTGACCAATACAATGGATTTTTGGCTATTGCTACAAATATACCCCAGCGACTTAGGACTGGTTTTGTGCTCCAGGGTTACATACCCAATCAACAATTTGATCTCACAATGATGTCACCATGAGCTCACATGATTCTCATGTTGTGGTCACAGTGAGCTAAAAGTGTAACCACACAGCGCACTCACTGTGCGCTCATACTGTGTTCGCAATGTGAGGTCACAGCACACTCACTGTGCGCTCATAATGTGGTCAATGTGAGGTCACTGCACACTCACTGTGCGCTCATACTGTAATCAATGTGAGGTCACAGCACACTTACTGTGCGCTCATACTGTGGTCAATGTGAGGTCACAGTACACTCACTGTGCGCTCATACTGTAATCAATGTGAGGTCACT